ACGAGCCTAAGAACAGATTGCTTCAGGATCCTGAAAGAACTCACAGATGCGACCAAAAATCTAAGCAAGAGAATAAAGAAGTAGTGAGAGACAGTGAACCATGAAAGAAAGGGAGACATTTGTTTCATTTGGTGGAAAGGGTGTCTGTGGAAACTGTTCCATTGCCATGGAAAGAAAGCCCTTCTGGAAAAATACTGTGGAGAATAATGATTTGACTCAGAAAATCATTTCATCTTGAAACAAAGAGAAAATAGGTTGGCCCTTTTCAACCTTTGTATGTCTTTTTATTTCGTGGGGGTGGGAACCTCTCTAGGTCTGCAACCACCACTCCTTCCGGCTCCCCTCGGGCCTCCCAGCAAAACATTTATAATCCTTCAGAAGGTCCCACGTGGAACCCCTTTGACGATGACAATTTCTCCAAACTCACAGCTGAAGAACTGCTAAACAAGGACTTTGCCAAGCTGGGGGAAGGTGAGTGGTGTCTTTTTGTGATTATGGAACCTTGACTCTATGGTGAAAATGCATGTGAAAATAGAGGCTTGGGTCTTTCTTTCCTTCAAAGGATTGATTTTGAAGTATGTACACACATCAATTTGTATTTTTACCAGAGCTCTGAAATCTTTGCGTCCTCAGAAATCCTGGTCTGTTATGGGTGGCAGCAGGAGAGTGGGAAACTTTTAGGGGTGAATCCGTAGCATAGATCGGAATGATGGTGTCAAGCATGTTCACTCCTTGGAGGTGTGTGACGGTCGCTTGTCCTAAGCGGGTTTGTTGTCTTAGAGAGTCGTAACTGCTCCCTCGTGAGACTGTGCCCTCATGTAGACACTGAATCTTTGTGATCAGAATTTTCTATTACTGTTGACTGACCATGGAGAGGAGATCAAATAAATAGAAGGTACCATTTCTGTCGTCAAACCCATAGTCTTAATTTGGAAGGCAGAGAGAGAGGAGGGCATAGCTCAGTGGTAGAGTGCGTGCTTAGCATGCGCAAGGTCCTGGGTTCAATCCCTGGTACCTCCACTAAGAATAATAACTAAATAAACCTAATTGCCTCCTCCCCCCAAAATAAAAAATAAGTAAGTTGGAAGGCAGGATACCCATTTATGGACGTGTGTGCGCACGGACACACACACACACACACACCCTCTAGAAAATAACAGCAAATGCCCTGGGAAGATTCTACAGTTCAAAAGGAGCACCTCAGTGCAAACAACAGCAAGGGGTAAAGAGTGATTAGAACAGAGTGAATAATACCAACTTTGACCAAACATGTTAGCTTTATCATTTTATAGATAACATTTTTTAAAATCCATAAACTTCCTTGCCTTTTTGAACACAAGATGGAGCATAGGATTTAACTTTCTTTGACATTCATTGTCACTTTGTTTCATTGTTATGTGAGCCAGTTATTGTTCTAGGCTATAAACGAATATGTTCGTGGACTATTGAAAACTGTAGTATTTTGCGCTTGATTAAATGACCCCCAGGTTTTTAAATTCTTGTATCTGTTTTTAATAATTTCCTGTCTTTCTTGTTGTTCAGCTGTTGGCTTTTACATTAAGCCGTTGTCCTTGTGCCTGCTCAGAGCATCCCACTAGGGCCATCTCTCGTCTCATTTGCTCTCTTAACTGCTTCCGACATGGAAAACGGATCATCAAACTCATTGAAATTATATAGAGATAAATCGATTCAGACTGAAGGCGAGAGGCATTCTGCTCTGAGCACTGTGCTTGAACTTTCGGGCTTCAGACTTCCTTTCCTCGGCTGTTCCTCAGCTAGTGCAGCGACTAGACAGGGACCTTTGAATAACCAAGGTGTTGCCAGAATGCAATAAAAAGAGTCATGTCCAGATGTCAGTTTGGAGGGTGCCCTTCGCCTCCGGCAGGTGTGTGCATCATGAGATTCCGCTGGAATGAACCGAGCGGTGTTTTGTCCCTCCAGGCAAACATCCTGAGAAGCTTGGAGGCTCAGCTGAGAGTTTGATCCCAGGCTTTCAACCAGCCCAAGGTGATGCTTTTGCTGCTCCCTCATTTTCTGCTGGACCTGGTTAGTATGGCAAACACCTGAAACACAAGACTCGCTTTTGTTACCTTCACACTGGTTTCCAGTCCACAGATAACCCTAGCTTGCCAGTGAGCCCCAGATCCTTGTGGTATAACGTATTTTCCTTTATTCAGAAGATTTCCTATAAAAAGGTAGGGATGAAAAAAAGGTCTAGAAGTCAGTTTGAATTAGAATGGCAGGGTGATCTGGCAGCGATGTAATTTACAGGATTTGTTCTAAGTACACAGACATCTTTTTAAGCAAA